GGCGACCTCACTGGGTGGACAAGGGGCAAGCTAAGAGAGCGAATAAAAAGGAGGATAACTAAAAGATTCGGTATACAAGAAAGAAGTAAAATCAAAGGAATATGCGTATGCAGCATACTTAATAATACTAATCCCATTTATGTGATTTCTTATGGCTATAAGAATCTGCTACTGTGGTTGAAGGAGTTGCGAAAAACTGTGAAGTGGGACAACCTCTTCTATCTATCTATTCTTGCCTCCCCATATAAGGCTTGGAAACACTGTTAAATTAATCTCAATATGATTCGTGTACTAGGATTTGGAGAGCCAGGGACGTAGTGGTTATGACTGATGGGGGGAGAGTAAACTAAGGACAACCACTGAGTGCAGGTGGCCTGATTGGCTGAAATTAGGAGGACCAAAAGAGTTTTGCGGCTGTTCTTGGCGGAATATATCTGTGACTGAGGGGTTGGTAAGTTGGAGAATGGGTAGGGGGAGATAACAGGCAATCGCGGGTCTAATTCTGTGCCTGTCGACGACAAGCCGAGTTCGTAGAAGGCTAGTCTGGGTAGGCATTGTTAGGGGCTAATCTAATTCCCGAGGCAATTTAGAAAAAATTGAATAATTATAAAGACTGCATTATGCGTTAGCCTTGCCTCTTTCGATAATCTCCATTCAAATCGCTTAGGTCTCTGGACCATAGAGACTGGCGCGAACAATGTTGCTTGTTGTGCCACACGCTGCTTAAGATCTTAGACTTATTGTTCAGCCGTTCTCTTTTCGCAAGAAGAAGTCTCCTCAACCTTTCATTCCCAATCAAGATACACTCGGATACATTTGAGCTTGAGGACATGGAGGCAGCCGCGAGTTCCACTTGAGCTGAGCTGATCGATGCCAGTTGGACACAACGAATTGACTACCTACATAATTCTTGGATTGAAAACGTATTACTGTTAGCTGTCTAAATCTGACCAATTTTCGAGAATCGAATAATTGCCTGAGTGAGCATATTGTAAATGTGAGGTTTTACGTATTAAATTAATTACTTTGCCAGTTAATTTCATCAATTTCCTGCTGAGCAGCCTAGCATACATGTATGTATGCGCATATGCATCAGAATATATAAGAGGATTGGTGTTGCTGTTATGCTTAATTAGTCGGCAGATGGGAAGATCGTGGGGTGGGTGACGTAGGAGGGGGTGAGTCATGGAGAGTTTGAAAAAGAAGCTATCATGCCTATGAAAAATGGACTTAAAAATGCACAGCAATGGGTTTAGTTTTTTCATAGTCCCCGTGAAATGGAATATCTTGCGTTAACTAATGCAATTGATAAATATACCAAAAGCTGTAGGCTAAAATGCTCATTATTATTATCTAGGCCTTCACGATAATATCAGCAATCAATGCATGAATACAGGCTTGGTTTGCATCTTCAGTGAATAAGTTTGTCAATCTTTTCCCTCACAAATGTAAGAATCGTGATTATTATTGTCCACTGCTCGAATCCCGCTAACAAAGGTGGAGAGCTCGAGAGAGGACAGCCTTTTGAGATACATAATGGAGGAAAAATTGAGGCATTTTTAGCATTCTTCCCAAAGCTTCTGATTAAAATAAGTGAGCTGTCCTCGTTTTCGCAACTCTGTTCCGACGCATCATGTCCGAAGTCCTTTTCTATAATAGTTATCATAATTGCCAGTGTTGGTACATTTTCAGACGTTTCACCGTCATCGTTGTTGAATCTTGCCATTCTCAGCACCCTGCTATAATTCGCCATAGACTCAATAGAGATAAGAAAGTAGGGATTTACTTCACTTGTCTATTTGATAAGTTCTAGCTTAGTTCTGAGAATGAAAAGACGCAATGACGATGCCGACTATGATGACGGCAAAACGCCTGGGAATGTACCAACACTAGGAAGTATGATAACTACTATAGCAAAGGACTTCGGACAAGGTGCGTCTAACTAAGTCGCCCCGGCAGCATGACCAAGTTTTGAAAACGAGGTACATCGAAAAGAACTGCGATTACAAGGGCCGCACCCATATGAAACATATTTACCCCATTTCGTTAAGGCAAAGAAGGACTGGTAGTTGAATTTTCCCACACGGATACGAGTAGGCTCTCCTTAAAATGTATTATTATCCAAGGTGGATTGCCACTTCTCCTCAAAGATATAATTATCAACGAAAAAAATATTTTCTAGTTCCTGGGTCAGCATGCACGTTTGGGCCTCTATTTCTGGGCCGTCTCTTAAGCAAAAAGCTCATCTTCACCGGCCTTTAACCAACATTCCGTCTTCTTTGTTGCCCTACGCTAGTATAGCCTTAGGAAGATAGAATAATATGGATGATGTAAGAAATGATACAATATTATTAACTAATAAATTTGGAAAGTATTCGCCCATATTTTTATGGAAAAATCTAACCATTAGTTCATTAAGCTTGATAATAGTAAAACAATCAGGGATTCGTAACTTGGTTCCACTAGGGTCGCAGAGCGGTGCTCCGAGGACCTATTCGCCCAAATCTACAATCACAACTTCAAGGCAATTCCCCTACAGCTTTCCTTCCATTCGTGTCTTAAAACGAAATGAAAAGTACTCTAATATCAATTTATTGAGGGGTTCTTCGAAACCCGGTTTTTCTACACATATTCATAGTTTGATTCCCAAAGAGCGGCATCTATTTCCATCAACCTTCAAGCGTACACTTTTTCTCTCCTGTTTTCTCTTTCCCTGTAGTATCCTGGATATCCGACTGAGGTACCTGGTGGCTCGATTAATTATTAGTCGTCCTCCAGCCTTGTTGACGCATAGTTTGCTCCCTCTCTAGCCCGAGAGACTCAACCTAGCCAAATCCACCTGTTCACGGGATGCTTAGCAAATCAGACCTACAGACAGACCTCTCGGACACTCTGACCTGTTTTCCGACACCGGAGCACCTTGCCAGAACCCTTCTGCTTCAGGCGACAGGAACACTACCATTTCCACTTTCCGCTCATCCCGCGTTGCAGCTTCCACCTCTCCCACTTCCATCACCCCCTTCAGACCCGGGCAATGCATCTCATGTTTTGTCTTCGCGACCGACGGCAATTACCGCTCCTTTACTCGGCAGTGTGATAACTTCAGAGCAGGCTTCTTCAATTTCTGCTCGTTTTCAGGCCTTTAAAAGTGTTCATCTGCCTGAGAACGCTTCATCCATCGCCCGGCTCACCTCTGAGGTTGGCAGTGGATGTAGTAGTGACGGCAATAACTGTAGCATAACTAGTAGAATCATGAACGGTCTAAAGAATGGGGAAGACATGCTGCAACTGCGTGACATTGATCCAACCAACTACTTTCTGGGTCTCCCGATGCGACATTTGCCGATAAGCCTCGACCTCACCGCCTCTCTGGTCGGCGGTAAGCTCGAGGCGCCAGGCGCCTGGTTGGCGGATCCGGGCGGGTTGCGGACTCGAGCAAACCAAGCAGAGACTTTGCAATCGGCCGGACCCGACCTGTTGGACGAGGCGGCTCTGGCAGCGGCAGCAGCCAGCTTTCTCGGTCTGTCGACAGATTCAGGCCTGCCCGAGACGGCTGGACAGCTGGGGCCAGGTCGGCTGAAACAAGACGTTCAAAGTTCAATCCAAACGACGACCAAATCGAGTCCCATAACTGCCGATTTCGCAGAGCCACCATCAAGGTTGGCTTCACTGGAAGCTAACTCAGAGATGCCGAAAGCATCGACTTGCCAAACTGTGGAACCGATGCTGGTAGACGCCATGATGGGCTCGTCTCTCCTTCCACCTGGACCGCCGTCCTCCAAGGGTTTGGAAGAAATTGCTCCAACCCTGACAGTCGGCCCTATCAACGGTAACACTGACATGATCAGTCATTTTCCCAGCTGTTCTGCCCCCGGATTTTCCGGCATTCCCGCTCTTTCCCTTTCTTCGCCGACTTTTGCCGGACACATGTCCTCAGCCATGAGCTGCTCCCTATCACTGCCACCAGGCGCCGAGTTTTTCACTCCCAACTCGAATTCCGGCCTGGGTCACTTCCCTCATCTGCCGGGAATGCTCATTGTACCTCCGTTGGTATCCGGCCTTCTGCATCCGCAGCAGGCGCAGCGGCAACAAAAAGAGATGCCACCCACCTCACCGACGGACATTCTCGATCACACGGGACAATCACAGAGTCCGAGTTTTGTGCGGCCTAGCCTCTCGGGAGGTGGGTATGCGGGTAGCTTGCAGACCGTCGCCCCGAATGCCGTCGCCATGAATCTTACCTCAACAGCCTCGTTGCCAACGCCGATGACTTCATCGCCCTCAACATGCTGTGCACATTCCACGCATCCTCAGCTCATCCAGACTCGTGGCCTCTCGTTGCCACCAGCGCTCACCTGCTCACCTCCACCTCTTCTGCCCATAGCTTCGGCTGTTTCACTGAGAATCGAAAACGCTGTAAACTCCAATTTTGCTTCTCCTGCTTCCTCCGAAATTTGCTGCACCCCGATGAACAACGGTTATGGTACCACTTCCCAGGCCGGGTCTGGAGCATACACAAACTCTAACATGGGTGTGAGCATCGGACAAAATCAAAGCCAGCGTAGTGATGAAGACTATTGTGAGATCTGTCAGAAGCACTTTTGCAACAAGTACTACCTTCGTAAGCACAAGGCCGATGTGCACGGCATTCACACGGAACCGTTCTCGCAAACGCGACGCAGAGAGTCGGCCCAGGCTGCTGCTGTAGCTGCACACTTGACGCAGCCAGCCAAGGCCCCGTCTAGTATTTGTCCTTCTGTCGGTAAGGTATCGTCTGCCTTCGCCTTTGCAAACTCCTCTTCCACGATCACCTCTTCTGCCTCTACATCTTCCCATTCTTCGTCTTCTTCTTCATCGTCATCTTCTTCATCATCATCATCTTCTTCATCCTCCTCCTCGTCTACCGTCTTGTCCACATTTTCTACCTCCACCTCCTCCACCTCAGTCTCTGTCGCTTCGTGTAGAGGAATTTGTGCCACGGGCGAGATGAAAGATCTATTTGCATCCGATTCTTCTGGACTCGAGCCACGAGGAAGTCTAGTTTCTGACGCTTCCAAATTTGGACCAGCCTCTACACATCTTTCAATCTCGGAAAATTTGCCAATCCATTCAGCCTGTCTTATGAGCAGAGGCGCTTCTCAAGCGCAAATTAATCAGAATCGCGAAACCGTCATTAAAAACAGTACTACTGGAAACAATTCCTCTAAAGCAATCCTTATAAATGGTACCGGCTGTCATAGCTCAGGGCTAGGGACTAGCTCTAGTGATGCCATGATGCAATCCTTCATGGCAGCAAACGCTATGCTGGCCAATCCAATGGCAGCAGCAGCAGCAGCAGCAGCAGCTGCTGCTGCCGCAATTGCCACAGGAAGAGTGTTGGTGAAACCAAGTGGCACTT